ACACAGCCTAGATAGATATAAGCTTCTGTATATTAAATATATAAAACCTACACAACCTAGATAGATATCAGCTTCTGTATATTAAATATATAAAACCTACACAGCCTAGATAGATATAAGCTTCTGTATATTAAATATATAAAACCTACACAACCTAGATAGATATCAGCTTCTGTATATTAAATATATAAAACCTACACAGCCTAGATAGATATAAGCTTCTGTATATTAAATATATAAAACCTACAGAACCTAGATAAATATCAGCTTCTGTATATTAAGTATATAAAACCTACACAACCTATATAAATATCAGCTTCTGTATATTAAGTATATACATTTAAGGTATGGAGAAGCTTCCAAAAGGAAATTAATAACTTGACACTCAGTGCTTCTAGTTCTATATTCGATCAGTAATTAAGAGAAATATAAAAATTGGTTTTGGTTAAATCGAACTCTCTAACATATAAAAGCAACCATTACCGTTAGTTCATGTATTTGTAGTAGATTTTTCTCACCTATGTAGCGGTCTCTGTCACATTCTGTTTCAGAGAATTCTTCTGATGTCTCCATCGATGTGGGTTTCTTGTCCAGAGATACATGAATCCCACTGGTTGAAACAAAAATAAGGGCATTATCAGCCTTAACGTAACATTTATTTTGAATTTTCTTCCTTCACTTCAAACTATTCTAAACATACACACCTTTAATACGTGAAGAAAACGAATTAAGCAAGAATAGATTACCCAATTTATCAACCCCGACCGTCAACAATCAATCATAGTTCTAAGTCGTCAAATCAAGACACACTGTAGTGTGTCGTGCAGCCAAAACAACCCGCTGCAGGACACTCTGTGTGTTATATGAAAAAAAGAAAAGAGTGGTAGTTTAGCGATTTTTCACTTTCTGTATCTCGAACTGTGGTAATCCAAACTATCATATATTTCTAGTGTATGTGCTCTACTGGACTCTTGCTACATATACTAAATTTCAAGGTAATTCATCAAGAAATACCTAAGATATAACATCTACAACTTTCATTGAGTTTCTTCCTATTTTTTTTACTTCGCACCAAAAGTATAGAAAATATATTTGATATAAAACATACATACATACATACCTACATTTATTACGTGAATGGCTGTTATATAGGTCAGGATATTTATCACGTAAATGGCTGTTATGTAGGTCAGGATATTTATTACGTAAATGGCTGTTATGTAGGTCAGGATATTTATTA